AAGTAGATAATCCAGGGAAAAGGCAGTGACTCTTGTTTTACGCAGGGTGAGAAACAGGGGTTTACACAAGTTTGAAGGCATGGGATGCAGCTGCCATGCCAAGTAGATTATGGCTTAAATGGAAGGCGCTCTGGGAATCTTATGTACTAAGGACAAGGGCATCTGGCCTTCAGATCCTAGTGAACTACAACAGTGAACTGTACTAGCTAGAGCTGACACAAGTGGAAGGCCAACAACATTTAGAACACCATGCATTCCCCTTCCTGCCATATACACTGTTCTGAGTATGGAAAAAAGCAGATTCTCAAAACATAATACGTAACAGTAAGATCTGCAAATCTTTGGTGATGCACAGCTGCCCCCTGCTCATCTCCTGTAGTAACCAGCTACTGTAGCTTCTCGGATACATATACTGTACTGTAACTTCATACAGTATCCTCCAGTATTCTCTTCATTGGCTGAACTGAGACCATTTGACTCTTCCCTTTTGTTCTTACTACATCTGAGTCTACCTCTTCCTTTCCTGTATCTTGTCCCTCTTACTGCATCTCTTCCAAATTTAAGACATTATTTTAACGTATAAACTGGCTTTACATAACAGCACTGATGTTACCTGTCTGTCATGGGTTTGGAGGGAAAGTTCCATCCTATGGGGAGTGGAAGGCGGGACATCAGGAGGAGGGGCTGTACTGTATAAATATGTGATGCCTGTGTGGTGAAGGAAGATGCTGAGCCAGACACTGTGAGACACTGCCATGCCAAGTAGATCATGGCTTAAATGGAAGGCGCTCTGGGAATCTTATGTACTAAGGACAAGGGCATCTGGCCTTCAGATCCTAGTGAACTACAACAGTGAACTGTACTAGCTAGAGCTGACACAAGTGGAAGGCCAACAACATTTAGAACACCATGCATTCCCCTTCCTGCCATATACACTGTTCTGAGTATGGAAAAAAGCAGATTCTCAAAACATAATACGTAACAGTAAGATCTGCAAATCTTTGGTGATGCACAGCTGCCCCCTGCTCATCTCCTGTAGTAACCAGCTACTGTAGCTTCTCGGATACATATACTGTACTGTAACTTCATACAGTATCCTCCAGTATTCTCTTCATTGGCTGAACTGAGACCATTTGACTCTTCCCTTTTGTTCTTACTACATCTGAGTCTACCTCTTCCTTTCCTGTATCTTGTCCCTCTTACTGCATCTCTTCCAAATTTAAGACATTATTTTAACGTATAAACTGGCTTAAGTGCCTTAGCAGAAAGGACGTATATGTTTATGTGTGCATATCTGTTATATATGGCTGTGTGGTTGGGTAGGCATAGTGAATGAACAAATAGTGACAGGATGATACTGTCTGAGTTCTGTAGGCTTGTTCTACAATCACTTAGCAACCAGCTAAGAACTTACTTCAACCTTGCTTTCTATGGCTATTTAAGATCTATTCATGGCCACTGGTGTACATGGGGTAAGGCCTGAAGGTGAGTAGGGCTGCAAATGCAGATAGAGCTTTGCCCTCTTTCTGAAGAAATGTTTTTCATGCAGAAATGTTTATCCCTGGGCAGAGCAAAAAGCGACCTGTCCATGTTGCAGCCATTGTACTGGGATCCTTCTCCTCCCCAACTTCTCTGAGTAAATAGACACAAGAGCGCTCACAGGATTTCTGCAAAATGCAGCAAGCCTGCCTAAGAATGGGAAGGTGTTCCCTACTAACAACAGTTTGAAACTATCTTACTAGAGGAACATGACACATTTTGTTTGCTCCATCTCCCTTAAAAAATAATAATAACACCTACCCTTTCATTTAAGGATATGCTTATCAACAAATCAAGATTTTAAAAACAAACAGGGCTTCATATGTTACAAGACAGGCACCTCACCAATGTGCATGTACCTGCTCTTGTTCTGTTCAGAGCAACACTAACATCATCATCACTTTCTCCTCACCATCTCTCTTCTCCCCAAGCTCCAGAAAACCCACAAAGATGAGGCTCTCTTGGGACAATGACCCTGAACACATTTTGGCATCACTCTATCCATAAACAGGTTGGAATATACAAAGCCACCTTATACGGCCTTAAACTAATAGTCCATCAAAGCAGCATTGAGCGGTTATGACTTTTGAGAACTGAAGATTGAGGCTTTTCCCATGACTTGCTAACTCATGTTTTTAATGAGTGATACTAGGAATTGAATCTGGGACATTCATTAAACAAAGCATGTCCTCTGCTGTTAAGCTATGGTCCCTCCCCATACACTCAAGCCCTATAGTGAATCACACATTAGAGAAGTTTGATTACAAAGGATCTCATGGCACTTTGATAATGCTAGGAATTATTTCAGCTTCTGCACTTCAGTACATTATACCACTCTGTCCCTCCAAACATTCTTGGACTAGAACCTCAGTGATCCCCTCACCATTAGCAGAGCTAATGGGAGTTGAAGTCCAGGGGAGGGTCATACTTGCCAACTTCTACACTAAATATTTGTTTTAGTAATTACATGTTTATGTATTAATACAATCTACTACAATTACCCTAAACACTTTTGATACTTTAAAATTTAGAACACTGCTATCAGAGTAATATACATAACTGAGAAATATGTTAAAGATGAACAGCAGGCATAACGTACACATTCGATTCTTGTTGCTCTAGAACACATAGCTATTTCAAAGTAAATGTTTATCTTACTTACAAGAAACAAACATAAGGTCAGGCTGCTTCTTAAAATCAACAGGATTCCTAAGTAAATGTTGTGTGATGCATGTTGTGATACATGCTTTTTCCAGCCACTAAAGGAACTCTCATAAAGGATAGGATATAAATACCTAAAGTGAATACATTTTATATACAACTTTGTATTTCAGAAGGTTATCATTTTTTACACTATGCATTCCGTGCTAGTAAACTCTCATATCATAAAGCATAACAATTTACCTAAAGTTATATTTTAAGATCTATTCCCTAAGTAAAGTGCTAATAAATGTAATGTAGCAAGAAACAAATGCCTCATAGAAGTATTTTTCCTCATACAGAAGAATTTGCTACCTGGGAGGTCACACTTGCAGTTTTAATTTAGATCACAGAAGCATTCCTGAACTACCACCTCACAATCAATACGGTCTTTATTTACCAGTTAATCTACAATTATTCCCCAGAGTAATATCTTAGTCATACTGTTGAAGGGAGGTAAGAACAAATCTTAAGATAAGTCACTACATAATGAAATAAATGAAACAGAACTGCTAACAAGACTGATCTATAATTAACTCCTTGAACTGTTTCATATCTAAATTCATCTTGTTGCAGTTAGACACTTACTTGGAGCGGGGCACTTGACAGATCCAAAGCACAAGCCACCTTTTGACACATAAAGCCATGCAGGTAGACACATTTATTACCCTCACTTATGACCACGAGCGTGAAACAACATACAGATAGCTAGCTATTTGGGATCCAAAGCAATATTCACCTAAATGGAATCAGGTCGAAACAGGAACCATATTTAGTCACTGAAGAGTTGGACAATGACACTCTTCCAATATATTTCCAATTTCATCCTTGGTCATGTTTGGTTCTTGTTTGTTTGCTGTTTAAAGCCAGACTGTACAGTACTACCTACACCGCAGGGACAAAGAAGTATAATTGCCCTAACAATCAGTAAAAAATACGTCATTATGAGTCGAGTCTTTGGAATACCAGTGGCCTGGATCTACTAATGAAGGCCAAAGTACTGTTGGCAACATCATTTTAGATGTTTCCATAATTAAATATGAGGGCATAATTTCAAAGGCACAAAGCATGCCTCCAAAAAAATATGAAAATGAAGAGCTCCCGTTCACTTCAACCAGGTTTCCCATGTGCAACAAGTGCATCGCATTTTACTGAACTGACAGTTTTTCAGAAATGCCCCTTAGTCATGCACTGGGGGGGAAGAACTGTTACACCATGAAACATCCCTAAAAGTACTAATTCACACAATGAAACAGTAATGACTTCTGTTTTTCTTAGTTTCAATGACACAGGGAACTTTGGGAATGAGCAAACTGTCATTGGCAATTCTTTAAGCCAGTTTGTTTGGTGAATGCTTTCAAACAATATCTCACCTTCCTGTCTTGTAGAATATTATTGTTTCAACTTCCACCACATTGTCTTGTCAACAAAATTAAAAACGACTGCAACTATAACACTTTCCAAACTGTTTATGGTTTAGGATTACATCAGCTTACACCCTGAACATACCTGAGGACCATTTTTTTAACAAGCCACCAAAACCCTCCTCCTTAAATAAAAAGGATGCTGCTCAACCTGAAATCCCAAAGATAAAGCATCCAAGTTTAAACATGGGAACCACACTGAACTACAAAAAGTAAACTATCATCAATGGTATTCTTCTTGTAGATCCTTCCAGAGGAAAATCAGACAACCCAGACCCACCCCAACGAACTGACTGTTTTACAGTGACAAAGCAAACCATTATTCATGATACATCCAATCTTATGAACTTGACAGGCAGAAAATCAAGATTTCTCTTCCAAGAGTGCAGGCAATTCAGATCGAAGCTACCAAATCTTAGCATGCAGAGAGGGATGCCTCACTCACACACTCTGCCAAAGGGTACCTCATCATCCTTCCTTCACGGTTAGGTGATCCATCAAACATGCCCTCTCTACTGTACCTTTCCAGTGACAAGATATGCAATTTGGGATGGAGAAAGAAAAATTAAGGAGAAGGCAAGTCTTCCTTGTTGGGGATGAGAGAGATACAAAATTTACTCTCCGTCACGGAAATACATAAGCATGTTACAAAAAAAAAAAAACCCTGATGTTTCTGATCACGGATAAGACAAGATAGGAGGGCCTGCCCTCTGTCCTAGGGATCTGCACCTTAATGTCCCTATCGACATAGAAAAGGAGCTTCGCGACCCTAATCGTTTTACCTCTGCAGCTTTACTTCAGAATGGGCTGGGAGGGAGGGAGAGATGTTCAGCTTACCACAACGCAGCGCCACATTGGAAGAGTACAACCGGAGCAGAAGAGAGGCAATAGGGAATCTCCTCCTTGCAGAAATGCCCTCTTTTAAAAATGAATAAATAAATAAATAAGTCGCAGGAGGGATTCTGGAGCACCTTCGAAAAGGGGTCACCCCCTGCTCCCAACGGGGAAGATGCCTCTGGTTTTAGGCAAAACGGATGCCCTCCTCTTCCTTAAGCGAGGATCTGCCCCCCTCCACCAGATCCAGGGAAAACACACACACACACACACACACACACACACAACCCTCTCACAAGTCTTCTCTGCAAGGCGAGATGCCTCGCTCCTTGGCCTCCACGATGTCCAGTTTTAGGGAACAGGCAACCCCCCCCTCTTCCTTAGCCAGAGGGGCTTCCCCTCCACGCAAACGCATACCTAGAAACACGCGTGCACGCGGGGAGGGGGGGCGCAGTGTTTGTGATGCGGGGGGCGGGCGGAAAGAAGGAGGTTGGTTTGGTTTGCCTGGGTCGCTCTTCCACCATCCCTTGCTCCAAGCCAACCCATCCCTTCCCTGTTCCCCCCCCCTTTTTTTTCCTCTCTCTCTCCTTTCTCTTTTTGCAGGGCGTGCAAGAAGGCTTGTCTTGTCTTTTCTCTCTCTCTTTTTTTTGGGGGGGGGAATACCCCCGCGCGCCTCCCATTGCAGCAGGTGAGAGCACGTGCGCCTTTGCAGAGGCCGGGCAGGAAGGAGAGGAGCGCCAGAGAGGGGGGAGAGGGAGAGAGGAGGCAAGGCGAAGGCAGGAGCAGCGGGGCGGAGATGCAAAAGCAGCAGCAGCAGCAAGAGAGAGAGAGAGAGAGAGGCGCACATACCTCCTCCTCCTCCTCCTCCTCTTCTTCTTCTGCCCACCACCGCCGCCGCCCGGGATCCTCAGCCACCTCTACAGCCCAGGCACGCTC